ATGAGTCATGACAGCTTAGTATGACTACAGAAGCACACATCTGCATAGCACTATTACACGTGAAGCTTACAGTTACTCTACAGCCCCACTGAACTAGCACATCTGAGGCTGCACAACACGTTCTTTGCACCTCAACTGACTTGGCAGGCTTTAACAAGGCAGTAGGATGATAACCATTTCACATTTTGTTGTTTTCAGGTTAAATGAAGGAGATGCCTACTACCTCCTCAAGGATTTTGTACTCCTGATTCAGTCCATAAGGTATGATGACCAATGTGTGCTTTGAATATTTACCACCTTAAAAAAAAAAAAAAAAAAACCTTAAAAGTGAAATAATGCTTTTTTGTTTTTCTTTTTGTAAAAAATAGAACCTCACTGAGCGAACTGTGCGATGATCCAAACGATCATGTTCTACTGGCATTTCAAAAACTGGGAGAAGTCTACGAAAGTAAACTTAATGCAGTCTGAGTCTTTTGGTTACAATGGATGACTGTGTGTAGGGTGGGGTGTAACACACAAAAAACCTCCACAAAAAACAACCAACAAAAATCAAAGAACACAAACCTAAAAACCAGTACTACATAATATTCTTACCATATAAACACTATCGGCTATCTTTTAAATTAGAAAGTGACTGAATGTTCAGATGTATTTCATTACAAAATTTTAGTAAAACCCACTTTTAGAAATGAAAGATTAGCACAGAAAATTCATTTTGTCATATTAATGTTTTAGTAATTCTAATGTCTACTACATTGTAGCTTTAATGTATTTCAAAAGTATGTAATTGAACATTGTGGAAGCAGATTTTCTTTTCGGTCAGTGTTTTAAATTAAGACAGTTCTCAAATACATTGAATGAGTGTAAGAATTGTGAGGCGCTAATCTCACTTGCTGCAAGTAGGAAAGCACTGGAAACTTTCAGCTCATTTCTTTGGCAATGCAAATAAAATCAACTGTTCTATTGATTTTATATGGTTTTAATAGGTAGTACCATCCTGAACATTTGCAGAAGCTCTGAAGTTTGACTGCAGCTGTAGTCTACAAAACTTTAAGTATGAAGAAGCTTGTATCAAAATAAAGTTTAATAACATGCTCTGTACGTTACGTTGCCTCATTTTTCACCTGTTGTACCCTTAAGAGTAAGAAAGATCAAAGGCACCATTAACGTAGCACTTGACCAAGTTCTCTGAAACAAAAGTTGACTGAAGTGTTTTCTATTTCTATGCTCTGTGGTTGCTTTCACAGGGGGGAAAAAACCCCCGACTTTGTCATGTGTTAATAGTTCTTCAGTTTAACCAGATTTTTGTCTACCTGTAGTCTAAATATATAGCTGTGCATACAGCATATTACAGGTACAACATCCACTCACTGTTTAGAGGGATAATAAAGCATCCCTCCTAGCCACTGAATGAAGAATGGTTTGGGTTGGAAGGGTCCTTGAAAGGCCCCAACCCCCTGCTATAGGCAGGGACACCTCCCTCTAGATCAGGTTGGTCACAGCCCCATCCAGCCTGGCCTTGAATGGCTCCAGGGTGGGGGCATCTAAAACCTCTTCACTGTCAACAAACAGAACGAAGTTATTACTGATGAAGTAAAATGTATATACTAAGAACAATGCAGAATCCTTTTTTGAATTAACTAGTTCTGCTGCTCCTAAGCTTAGCACTGATGAAGTTTTTGACTTGAAATCTCGCTAAGCAACATTAAATTCTCAAGTACGATGTGTTGTGTAGGGGATATTGAGAGGAAGAAACTATGTAGAAGGCTGTGCTGCTGAGCTACTATTAACTGACTGAAGTTTTCCTGCATTTTTTAAAACCTATGAAATAAAAATCAGGACTAGAAGTGAACATAGTGGCAGATAACTCTCCAATTCAATATGGAAAAAAAAACCAATAAAACTTACTCTTTACCATCTGGCAAGTTGTGTTCTACACAGGCAAGTCTTGCACAGCCAGAGTAAAACTGCCCTTATTTATATATTGCCATGTACATGTTTCCTGATGGAGTAACCTTTACAGCTAGCAAACAATTAATTCACTGATCAAATAATAAAGTCAGAATAAACCATATTTGAGAAGGTAGCGTGAATTATGGACGAAAAAACAGATTTATGTGTATCAGAGAACACTAATTTTATGTTGAAGACTACTGTCTCATAAAGCCTTAGGCACAGCAGTCTGTTTTTTACTTTCAGTAGCATGTCAGAAACACCTCACTTCTTTGAGGACTATCACAAAGACAAAGACTTTGTACAACACAAGAAGAGAACTAAGTCTAAAAGTGATTAAAAGTGATGAAGCAACTAAGGAATCAACTTTTGAAAAGATTAAAAATGTGTTGTCTATTAACTTAATGCCTATCTGGGCTGTAGTGTTACCATGACCTATAGAAGAAGGTCAATACAAAAGTACTGCCCTGTTTCACCTGAAAAATGCTGACCTGCAAAGTGTCACTCACCCCCTCAGACCTCTATTTGCCATGCCTGAAAAGTCAGCTTCAGGACTGTACTGAAACTGCGCACCAACAATTTCTCTGGTTGAAAACAGTGCATCACCGTCTGCTTATGTACTTGACCATTTTACAATTATGGCCTTACCCTAAAAGGGAAAGTTTCTAATTTAATTTTAATCAAACTCAAGAAACACTGCAAATTCTGGAAATTAACAGAAGATACAACAAAAGTACGTAATTTAAAGACACTGAGCAGGGTTTCTGAATGCTCCTGTCATAGAGGATTTTTTTTTATGTAAAAAAAATAATCAACCCCTCTTTTTCAAAAATATAATGTTCTAGCAACAAGTTTTCTAAGGGACTGTATATCTCCACTGCTCCTGTTTTCATTATAGAGAGATCCATGAGGACTGCCACTGTTAGCATATAATGGCCTTACAAGAATTTAACTTAATACCTTTTTAAACACTTCTGTGCATTCTGGAAAAAAACATACAGATGTTTTGAGATAAAAGTACACCAATTCTCAGGAAAAAACAAAAAAAAAACACTTAAGGGATGAACATAAAGAATGATAACACTAACAATACAGAATTTTTGCTATCTTCCTTACTACAACACAGGCACCACGAGAAGATAAGGAAGTTCTAGAAACTGTTTTTCAGCCCATTCAATGGAGGAATTCAGTAGCACCAAGACAGTGCTAGTGAATTCTTGCCAAAAATTGAGAAAAAAACAAAATTGGTTTAGAAAACATTAAGTCAAGTATTTCCAAGTTTCTGTCACAGTAAGTAAATGGATAAGCCTCACAGATTTAAATGTAAGTGAAGTTAAATCGTGAACTTGGAAATCTTTGGAAAAAACCAAACAAAAAACCCAACAGAACAATTGAGATGCCACTGAAAATTTTCAAAGGGATACTGAATGTTTTGCTTCAGAATTTATGATCTAAAACTTGCCAGTTGACATATCCACATGATGGGGGATTTATGTAAGATCTGGCAGTTCTTGCTGGAAAGCAAACACTAAAGGAAGGACCTTTAACTTAGCACTGCACTACCAGCTACATCTCCTAATAGCTAAAGCACACACATCTCTTGGCCAACAGGTGAATAAATCAGAACAGAATGGTGAATAAATTAGAAATGACCCAATTTTTACTCTGTGCCATGTTTCACAAAATAAAAATAAAAAAAAATAAAATCAATGACTTTTGGGTAATTAATACTTACAGTTAGAAGTGCAATTTCCTTTTTCCCTGATGTTGCACGAAGATTGAAGGAGATTTTGTTTTAAAGGCTATATCCTCTGAATAATCTCATCAAAACAACAAGTTAGAACTTATCTACTAGTTTCCAAATTGCTGCCAAAGGGAACTGAAAATTAAACCACTTTTTGTAAATGTAGCACTGCAGAAGTGTAGCTGATATATTTCCATGACTACCAAGAAAACTGTGGTAGTATTCCAATTTCAAATGGATCAAATTATTGAAAGTAAACTAGGAGCTGTACCTTCCTTATCCATTAAACACGGCACAGAAAAAGAATACAGTCAAAGGGAGATGAAAGACCATTTTTAGTCATGTCTTCTACAACCTTTATTTCCCCATGGCTCTTCCACGCTCAACAGAATGATAGTGTCCGTGCCCTCCTATCCCATAACCCTACTGCAAGTGCTACTGTACTGAAAGAGCAATCTATTTTGCCTTGCTACTGAGTCTACACTGAGCCTGCTCTTGGAGACCTCCGAGTTTCCCTATTACTCCTAATACCCACATAGCGCTTCCTGGCAATTCTGCTTGTGAAAGATCCAGCACACGCGGTCAATTCTTCAGTCTTTAGGAAGACATGACATTTTTCATTGTTTTTCAGTTTGGATTTATAGAAAAAAATTACTTCAGCATACGGTACTTGCTGATAAGCAGCTATGTTTCTACCACATACCTTAACAGGTAAGATTATCATAAGGAACAGCTATAAAAAGACAGGTATTCCCACTGTTTAATATGTTATGTGGCGTTTATTTTATTCTCTTTTAAGTGGAGCTGTGTTCCATTTCACCCTCTTCATGTCTCCGATTTTCTTCTAGCAGACACTTCGTCTTCCGTAACAGACAAATATTCCGATGCACTGCTGGTATCACTGGACACTGATGTCTGACTGAGCTTTTCAGTGTCAGAATCGCTGTCACTTGACATTTCTCTGGCCTCGCTTACTGCAAGCGCAGAACCTACTGAAGGCAAATCATTGCATGCTTCAGGAGCAGAACAAGCTGTGTTCTGAAATGGCACAGACCCAAATTCTTCTTCCCTCCTGGGACAGGAATTGTTGCTTTCAGCAGTAATTTTGTTTTCTTGATGTTTTACCTTTATGTCTTGTTTTGTTGAAGTAACAGTAAGCAGAGTGGCAGATGCATTCCCACTGTCACCAGGAAGGACTGCTGAACATAAAGGCTGAGTAAAGGAAGAATTAATATTAGCAAGTATGTCTGTACTTCCCATGTTCTTAGGTGAGTTCATACAAAAAGAAGAGCCTTCCCATTTTCGATGACTGAGTCTAGAAGCAGGCTCTGCACACACTGGATACGCAGAATTTCCTAGATTTTGAGGTGTTTTGCCAAGAGACTTCATTTTTTCTTTCTTGGTTTTGTCAGTACCATTTCTAGACAAAAGCACAGAGGAGGAAGTCAGGGAATCAGAGGTATTTTTGACAATATCTTCACCAGCAATTTCATTTGGAAGTAACTGAAAAGTGCTATTTTTGAAGGAAAATACACAACTGCTGGGGAGAAGGGAGGACTCAGAGATAACATTCACTCCAGCTGCAGTGGTGGTTTCTGAAGTACCACAAGGTACAGTTGTGATGGACTCTGAGGCATTAGTGTTTTGCTCCCATGAGACAGACGGTTTCACTGTACCATCTGCAGTTTGCTTTAGAGATGTGTTTTTTCCCATGTGAGATAACACATTTAGGTCAGATGTCTTCTCAGACTGGTTAAAAAGTGAACGTAACGACAAAGTCTTAAATGAATCACTGACTTTCGATGCTGCTAAACATTGTCTTTCTGAACTGCCATTGGAAAAAGAACAAACTGCTTTCTGACTTCCTGCCGATTCTAAATGACAAGCGGTTGAAGCATCAGAAGCTCTGGTTCTGGCTACAGAGCTGCATTTTTTAAATTGGCTTTCGCACCGGTTACCTGCTTTATCTTCACGATCACATTTTCCTAGATAAAATTTAGGGAAAGCGTATTTACTGCCTTTCAAGGAACATGTAGCTGCATCTATGTTAAGTCTAGGTAATGAGTGGCTACATGCACCACAAGCAGAAAAATCTAAATTTGAATTGGAAACAGTAACAGCTACTGATGCTGCTGGCTTTAAGCCCAATGAAACACTAGAATTTGTGTCCATTTCGTTGGATATTGAAACTGCTGATGACTGCATTGGCAAATTTTCCTGAATTTCTTGGTCTTTAGAGTTTTCTGGTAAGGCTGGAGTGGCTGCTTCCTCTGAACTTCTCTCATGGGCTAAGCTTAAGTCACCATTTGTTTCAGACAATCTAGTACTGGTGGATGGGATGCAACGATTACTACTTCCAGGAAAGCTTGTCTTATCAATACCACCTTCTCTTGACAGGGTTTCCACTTTTACTCTATCCATGTTATTTGCTTTGGTAGTTGAAGATACAACAGGAATTCCTGAGGACTTACTCTTCAAAGCCTCAGCAGCCACAAACTCATACTTTTTACTCGCAGGTAAAGTTTGTATCTTGAGCTTATTAAGATTCTGATGTTCCATGTAGTATTTGTAACGCAGCTCCTGCAAGTGCAGAAAAATATCCTGTTAATAAGCAAAGCAGATGCTTGTGAGTGCAGAGGTTATAAAACTCGCTTGATCCAGAGGGTTTTTAAAATATATTCTGAAGTATTTATGATTTATTTTTCCATTGCTGCTAATTGAACAAGTTTTTTATGGAAGAAGAAATCCTTAAAAAAAATTGAACAAGATACGCATGAAACCAGGATGACAAAGTAAACATTAAAATAAAAAACTATGGGAAAAGTTATTTCAGGTGACTGCCAAACCCAGAAATAGCTAAATTCACTAGCTTAGATGTTGGCAATTACTTAAGAACTCACGAAAAACAACCTTCCACAACCAATTTAGTATTTTACTGGATATAATTAACTATGCTAAATCATGTCTGCAATGGGATAGAAAGTAGATGCCCTCCAAATTAATAAAACAAAAGAAAAAAATTCATTTGCCATTATTACTGTTCTCAGAACATCACTACCAGCAACGCTTCATTAACTGTAACGAGTTTCTTCCTGTACAGAACACTAGACACTGAGCCGCCCACGTGTAACTCCTATTAAGTGGGAAGACATAAAAATCTCTCTGTATAACTAGATCATTGGAAATTATGCTAAAGAGTGACTGGACTCAGTTTGGTGTCCAAATGTAAGGAATTTCTACTATCTTCAGAAAACAGAGCACGTGCAAATTATTTCATCTTCAAACAAGGAACAGAAAAGATGATTTGTATCAGAAAGACAAAGGTGCACATGAAAAGAGTTAGATAAAAAATGCACAGATATAAATTAAAAACAACAATCAAAGGCAAAACACGTAAGACAGATAGTATACAAGTACAGAAAGAAAGTTGTGTCACAACAAACAGTAACTTATCCATACTTACAACAGATGCTCAATCGTACCTCGTGACTCAAGTTTTGAAACACTGGCATTTCTGATATTGACATGAGGCGAGTACAGATCCTACCGCTGTCTGTCAGTGCTTCCTCGTGTCCTGCTACTGGCTGAAAAACATTTTGCAGCAGACATTGTATGTCTTTCCTGATAAGAAAAAACAAAATACAGAGCTGCTGCCTCATAGTCAACAACTTACAAGAAATGAGTTGGGTGTATTTTTCTGGTCCTGCCACTGGTTTATGATATTTTCTGTTGAGTTCTCATTTCCTCCAGCAGGCAGGTCTATCAGAAACAAACAAAAAAAAGATGGTCTGCATGCAAAGTATGGGAAATAATGCTATCATTTTCAGGAGAAAAAAAAAACAGTTGCAACTGAAAACTATTTTTATAAAGCAGCGAGAATACTGGTTTAATATAAGTTTATAGCTTTAAAATATATCAGTAGATACTTAAATAGAAAAGGTAACAGACAGTGAAATATTGGCTACAGGTAACATCTGAAAGGCACTGGCACTTAATATTGGAATTGCATTAAAAAGGACACAGGCAAACAAAAAATAAGAAGTTCAAGAAACCTATGCTGCAATGGTTAAGAGTCGTACCTAAATAAATATTTGATTCCTATTTTTGTATATTGAAGGGTTCCTTTCTATCTAAACAGATTCGAAGTAAGAACAAAATTATACCGACATAATCAGAAGCCTAGCACCTGGCTAAACTTCTGTGATACACAGAGGCCTGCTGACAAGTATCTCTCAATGCCTGCAGACACCTGTCCTGATAGGGTAAGAGCACTTAAGCAACTTCTAAGTCAGCAGCAATGGCTGCAATGGCTGCACGGGTAAATGACAGTAATTATTCCTCCAGCTTCCAGAAATACACATTAGGGACTTTGTAGAGAAAGCCCATCTGCAAAGTGTATTTAGAAGCACGTCCTTGATGAATTTATCTTTGATTAATTTGCTCATATGCTTTCTTAACTCTTGCATGCTCCAGCCACACCAATTCTTTTTGAACAACCAATTCAACCAGTTGCGGATTACGAGAGGGAAGTTCTGAATCTCGTTCTTTTAAGAAGTCCCTCTATCCTACCTTTAGTTGTGTCCACATTAAGTGGCACTAATTTCAAAGCCAAGATTTCATTAACCACAGGTTTGATATCCATTTTCTTCTGAGCGTTCTCTGGTGGCTTTTTATAGCTGGATGCTATATTCATCAGGTCAAGCTGAGTTTTCATTCTGGAAAAGTAAATAACAAACACACACCTGTTTCTTACGGCTTATATGCCAACAAGAAGATTACAGCTGCTTAATAAAAATGAAAAAGTAATTTAAAAAATCAGTAAAAAGAAATCAGAAAGCGTTAAATCTTCAGTAAAATGTCGTTTCCCACATTTTTTTAAACTTAAAACTTACTACTTGACAGATCATTTGAAATATGTTTAATACACAATGCAAACTGCAAAAAGCTGGACCTCTGGTTCAGCCAAAAGATTGGAAACTACTATTAAAGCATTATCTATTATAGCCTGAATCTAACTTGTACTCATTCTTCAGAGGGTACTGCTAGCACGTGCTACAAGACATGGTAGAGAACTCCACTTCTAACGCTCCTGCTTAAACTCTGATTAGAAAGCCATTGCATAAGCAGCAGATGTAATTAAAAAGCTTTAGAAAGAAATATTCCAGGTATGTGCATAGCAAACAGAGAATGAAGCCACTGTGGAATCTCCAGACATATTCTTAAAGAGCTATGCAGGGTATCTAAGAACTCCAGAGACACTTCAGTGTTCTCAACACAGAAAAATAGGGTGACACTGACAAATTCCTACACTTCATTTTGGTCAGAGAGCCAATTCTCTGTAATCACAAACAATCCTTCACTGAACTTGACAGATTTCCTAGAATTCTGAACACTGAGCACCCAGAAGTCTAAAAAGCATTAATGTCTTATTTAATAAACATCTTCCTCACTGTGCAATGACGTATCTGACCGTATGCAAAGTAAACGCCTTCTTACTTTTCAATCTTCAAGTTAGAGCAGAACTAACAAAGCATGCAAAGAAATTCATATACCTTGTATTCAAGCCACAGGCCACCTATAAATAAAACAAAAATTCATAAGACACAGATGTATTTGGAGAATTTTCCTCCAATTCACAAAAGAAGATTACTGAGCTTTTAAAATAGCTCAAAGATTAAACTTCCTGCCTTCATTTCACAAGCCCGTAGGAAATAAAGCTGCTGACATTATCATTAACGTGAAATAAGTAAGTAGAAGAGCAGCCAAACATACAAAAAAGATATTTCTTGGACTATGGTTTATCCTTTAATATTATATTAAAGAAAAAAAAAAGTTATTTCAGAGACAAATGAAAGCATTGAAGTAAAAAAAAAATATTACTGATTAAAGAATGACAGTTCTGTAATCATTTCAGACCCTTGTAAATATTCTAATGCAAGACTGTTTTGTAGTTTTTGGTGAGAGAAAACTCTTAGGATACTATTACAGTAAGATTTAAATACTCTGTATTTTGATTTTTTAGCATTCAAACTGTTTTGCACGTCTGACAGTAGAACTGTCAAAATAACTCCCTCTGGCACGAAGGAGGTTGACTTTCATAGCTGTCAGCATAATACGCAAGGGTTAAATCAAAAGCTGTATAGTCAATATTAGTTTAATCACTTCTAAATGTAAAGAAAACAGCACCTACTGCATTCACTACGTGTCTCTGATAATCTTTAAAGAAAGCTTGTCAAATGTTTCCAACATGAAAAGTACCCTTATAAAGAAGCAGAGTGTCAAGTAATTTTTGTCATTGGCTAAATTTGCTTTTCCCGATCCAACCTTTATCCCACTACGTAACGTACCAAGCGCTACACAGGATCTGAACTCAGCTATACGACTGATATCAAGTGAGAAGAAAAAAAGAAAGAAAAAGATCATCACCTCCAGGAATTGCTGAGGATCACATTCATGAACTAGCTTCTCACAATCGTTCAAAAGATTCTCAATGGTTTTCTTGTGAGTTTCTTTCATTTTCTTCCAAATCTGAAACTCTTTCTCCTTTTTACGCCTTTGATTTTCAAGATCTTCTGTCAACTGCTGTTTCTTCATTTCCAGAGTTTTGGAAATTTCTCCAAATGCCAGCGCAATGATCTCTGCTTCATTACTCAGCACCGTCTAGAAGCATGAAAACATAACAGATGACGATGCGACAGCAACGACTACACAGAGCAATGTCCTTAAGTTCGGGATGCATCTGTGCCACATAAAGTACCAGCACGCTGTGTTGTGCTTATCCTATCACAAAAACCAGTGTTGTTGTCCAGCTATTACATGAAACCATCAACTTAGAAAACCAGCACACGTAACTCACATCAGTATCATCTGCAGGACTGGAGATCTCATTCATCAGCTTCTCATTTATTATTCTCATTTCTTTTAGACTGCTGAAGAAGTTCAACTGGAAGGCAACAGCAACACTTAGTATGACTTCAACAACCCCATAAAATAAACACGTTAAGAAGCTGTCTAGAACCACATCACGGGCTACAGCATATAAACAAAAGCGGTGACTCACTGACAACATTTACTGCTTTTTAATAACGTTTACTGCTTTCCCGGTGCTTTTGTTACGCTCAAGTAGCGTTTTCAGGCTCACCTGCTCCTCCTGGTACACCGTGTCGATCAGGTTGATGGAGTGAAAGACGCCCTGGTGCTCCTCAGACACGCACTGCCCGCACCCCGCCTGGCGGCACATCCGGCAGTACAGCTGCAGCAGCCGGCCCGGGTGTTTCTGACAGCTCCCCCCGGCCCTGGCCGCGTTCGAGCGGTACAGCCTGACCACCTCGGCCAGCGTGGTGTTAACGGGCAGAGCGGCCGCGCCGCCGCGGGGCAGCGGGCAGAGCTTCCTGCACAGCGGGCACGACACTCGGGCCCCCGCCGCGTCGTCGCCGTCCGCTCCCTGTCCCTGTCCCCCCCGCGCCCCGCGGACCTGCCCGTGGCCCCGCTGCTGCAGCCGGGCGGCCTCCGCCGAGGCCAGACACTCTAACACGCAGCCCCGGCAGAAGTTGTGAGAGCAGAGCGGCAGCGTCACCGGCTCCTCGAAAAGGGACAGGCACACGGCGCACGTCAGACTGGCCTCCATCTGCGACGAGCAGAAGAGCGACCGGGGCCGCGGCTCCATCTCCGCTGATTCCGGCTCTCCCCGCTGCCCGCAGCTCCCCTCCGCGGGCCCGGCCGCCATCCGGCCGGCGGCAACGGCAACTCCCGCCCCCGCAATCGCCAACTTCCCCGGAAGTGGCTCGGGGCGGAGGGGAGGCGGGGCACGGAGCCGATTGGGGGAGACGGGAGATTGGCAGGCGCGCCGTCCAAAGGGAGCGGGGCTTGGGCCTCTCGCGAGAGGCCCTTTCACGCGGCGCCTGCCGACCGTTTGCCCTGCCGCCGCCATTTTGTGAGCGTTTGCCTTCGCGATGTTTTCGCCCTGGCCGTCGCAGTGAGGGTGTCGGTGTGGGGGGATTTGCGCTTGAGGGAAAAAGGCTGCGGTTGAGAGAAACGTTTTCGCCTGCACAGCGGTGAGGTGAGTTGGTTACCTGTAATTACGCTTGCAAGACTGTAGCTCAAGTTTAGCGTTTCGTTAATGTTAATATATTGGCAGCGAGCTTATCGCCATCTTACTTTTTGGGCAGGCGGCTTCTTTTTTAGAACCATTCAGTCTAAAATTCTGTCTGAATGATTCTGTTTTTTACCCCAAGTATTTTGAAGTTTCTCAAACGCAACAGGGGCCCGCTTAGAATCTCAAGTTTATGCTAAGCTTTATGGCGAGAGTGTTTGTGAAAGCCAAGGTACGCTGGGAATGTGTTGTTTTCAGACGGGAGGTGGTGCGGCAGCACCAAGTCGAGCACGTATTTGTTGTAACGGTAGTGTTTTGTTCTGTAACACTGAGCTTTGCTGGCAGAAAGTCGCGGTGCCTGTTTGGCACAAAGCGAAGGTCTGTGTTAGGATGGAAGATCTGTAGGAAAATGAGGCAAAGCAAAAGGCAGAAGCGATTCTGGAAAGTTCCTGAAGTGTAATATTACCTCATTTTCCCATACTTGCAAGTCTGTTGTCAGAACCGATAGAGAGGAGACGCAAATACACGTGCTAGGCAGTTTAACGGATAGACTGTAGATAATCTTATAAAGGAGCTTATCTTTGGTTTTATGGCTTTGTTCTACGCTTCCTGGGCTGTGGTGTGAGTTGTCACAAAATGTCCTCCTCAGCGTCTGTGAACCTTTGGGCAGGAAGCGTTAGCGGTTGTGAGCCAGCTCAGAACTCGCACCCCGAGGGGCTTCCGATGATTTAAATGGCAAAGGCGCAAAGGTTTCCAGATTTACTCCTTTGGAGTGGAAGTTCTCTGCAGAAAGCCATGAAATGCCTCATCTTCCCGTGTTTTTTTTTTTTCCTCATCAAAACAGGTGTGAACAGAATTGAAGGATCACCACGTCCCTTGTGTTAAGGTTTTGGAGTGTTGCATGATTAAATAATAAACGTGTGCTTACATCAAGTACTTTTACCAATTCTACCATTAATTTACAGTAATAACAGTAGCGGCAACATTAGTCTGAAATAGGGGTAAAACCATGTTCCTGACAACGTTTCTTTACATTTTTCTTGTCTCAAAAAAAGATTTAAAATTGTCAAATGTTTAGCACTGATTTTTCTGATCTTTTGAGTTGGTTAGATACCTCCCCCAATTACAATGTGTTGTGTATAGCTTGAATTTCCACTTAAAATCAATTTATACAGTCTTCAAAATCCATTATCTTCTTCCTTAATAATCTTCAACATCACCAGCACAGATAGCAAGCAAAGCACTCTCATAATGCCCTGAAGCAAAATGCTGCAAGAGAGGGGGGGGGGGGAAAAATAATCAGTGACAGTATTTCTGTACCGGTTTCAGCTGGGAGAGTTGATGTTCTCGATATTTTCTGTTATGATGCTGAGTTTTCTTTTTAAAGGAAAAGTGTTTTCCTTTAGCACATTGTTTTAGTTGTTTGCTTAGCAGTATTGCACAGAACCGAGGACGTCTCAGTTTTTCAGCTTCTTGTACTGTCCTGCCACTGTGAGGCTGACTGGTAGAAGGAGCTGTGAGGGCACAGAACTGGGACAGCTCTGACCTAAACTGGGCAGAGGTGGATCTTATAACAGCTTGTGGAACTGCAAAACTGAAGGGAGTTGGCAGGGGGACACAGCCCCTGCTTGGTGGCTAGCTGGGCAACCGTCAGCAGGTACTGAGCAACTGCATTCTTTTTCTTTGTAAATATATATATGAATACAATTATCTTTGCTGTTATTTTTTGCCATGCTCTTCTGTCTTAAGTTTTATCTCAAACCACAAGTACCCCTTTTTTGTGTGTGTATCCCTCATCCTGTGAGGAGAGGTAACGAGTGAAAGGCAGTGTGTGGTGCTGAGCTGCTGCTGGGTTAAACCACAACAGCTTCACTGCAGTTTTTCTTCTGTGTGTGGCAAGGATTGGAGTGTAGTTGTAAGGTTTTGTAAAATATTGCAATGTTTTTGTAAGGTTTCTGGGGCAAGACTTTTTAATTTCACGTATCTCAGGCTTTGGTTGCTTGGATGCTTACAAGTGATTACCTTGCAAAAAATTTGGTAAGTTCTGTTTAATGCTTCTCAAGGCCAATAGCAAAAACTAATGAGCAGTTCCCAGCAGCTGTTGCACACCTCACAGCTGGAATATAGCAGCGTATAAAAATGCTCAGAGTCTTAGCCATTGTCATTTTTATACTGTTCACCAGTATATCGAAGTTTAAGATGCAGAGCAGGAATTCTAGAGGAAGATTTATTCTGAAGGCTGGGATTTAAACATGAGGATAAGACTAAAGGTAACAGGAATCTGGTGTCACTCCTGCTACTGCGGAGGGACAAAATCGTAAAGGCTTGAGAATTTACTGCTTGTTTACCTAGGTAAGCCGGAGACATTGGAAGTGTATATTGTGGATATTGTATTTTTTTTAATCCATAGGGATTGAATGGATTTTTCTGAGAGGGCTCTGCAAATAGTGCGTGTGCTGAATATATCTAGAAGTGATTAGGAACTTACTTTAATATCATGGAAGAGCGATTTCCCGTATCTCTCTTTGTATCGTTGTCGTATAGTCATCAAGTCAATTTCACTCCTGGCAATGAGAATCCTTATGACTGTTTTATTGTGGAACCCAAAGTCCTAAAAAACAGAAGAATACATGAAAAAACTAGGTGAGCATCTATTGCTCTATTGCCCATCTGTGTATGGTTGTTTGAGTTCTTTGTGATAGGCAATTAATTAGGCCATCCAGGAAGGTACTTCAGGTTTTAAATGCCTAAGTGTTCAGAGGCTTTATTCTACAGTTCTCATGTGCCTGTATAATGGAATTCACATCAGTGAGTAGGTATTCTCCATATGTGAGTGTTTTAACTGTTCAATGAAGATTTCAAAAGGAAGTTAGAAACTTTTTCCAGTAGCTGTAGATAACCTGTTGTACAATTAGCTGTTGTGACACTATGGAGTGCATTGAAACTGTATTGAAGTCAATAATCTGTTTCACAGTCTGTTTCCCCCTTGTGAATTCAGTGACATTTTCTGAATCTATGACTGAATGCACGTAACTTGTATTTTGCTGTTCTTTTTAAGGGTTTCTAAACAAATATTTGTATTGTAACAGTGTGGTGCATGAAGGCATCCAGTGGTGCTTAAAGTTATCAAAACAACTTTGAGGTCCTGATGATCTGCTGAGGTTATGTAAAGCCAAACTGGTAATTTTATGATCTATTCCTTCGTACTGAAATCTCTTTACCCAGAAGGCAAATAGTAAGTGATAATGATAAAGCTGTTTATGGAGAATTTGATGACCCTTACATGGCTGGATTGAAACTTGTTCCGTAAACCACTGTGGACTGTGATTTGAGACATGAGAATCCAGTGTGAATTTGGTTGTATTGCAGTGCATGTGCAGAAAGCTTTTGTTGTAGTGTGGGCAAGGCCTGGCTGCCAGAGTAGGCACAGTGAAAATCTTGTGTTTGTTCCAGGAGTTGTGCGTTGGCTAGAACAGTTTGTGAAAACAGGGGGAGACGAATTAAAACAGGATGCGGATGTTTATTCTTAATCCTTCAAAACTTTTTCTAGCTCCTTCAGTGCTTCACCCACATGTTCTGTAATTGGTCTCCACAGGACCTTTGAGAAACATCACTTTTCCTGTAGCTAGTACTTTTGGCAAGCTATTTTCATGTCATGTGCCAGAAGCCTCTGGGCAATTCAATTTGTGCCTCTTGCCAGTACGTGTAGGATTTTCCTTTCCTTTCTCTGTTGCCACTTGTTGCAGGTTTAGTTAAAACAGGTGGCAGTAGTGCTGCAAGAGGACGCTGGGGCTCTGCTGAAGTGTTGCTGAATGGTTTTGCTTTGTGGTTTGGCCTTGAATCTAATCTTTTGCCTTCCCTGTTCTAAAATGATTCTTATTATTTTACCCATGGCGTCTTTTCTGGTGATCTTCTGTAGGTAACATTTAGAAGATTATACTTTAAAGATTATACATAAGAGATTGAACTTGATTTTTTTAATGGAAGATAAAATCTTATTTTCACTAGTGAATGAAAAACAAAGGAAATGTCTTCACTTGCTGCTTGTAGGAATAGGCTGTAGGTGTTTCTTTGCGTTTACCTCCGTTCTTCTTGGCATTCACATGATTTAATGTGATAGTTTTTATACGCCAAGAGAACAGAACCTGCAAATGTTCATAGAGCCACACAAGAATGTATGACTATTGGTTTTCAAGTCGCACTAATTTATAATGCAATTTGTAATATTTATTCAATTGTGAGGGGGGAAATAATGCGTGGTACAGAAAGAACACATTGAGTTTTGAATTGCAGGTGGAACTACAATCCAAATAAAATAAGAGCTGTTAAAAAAAAAAAAGTATTACCAAACAGTTCTCTGAAGGAATCTAAATGTTTGAATTACTGGTGTTAAATTCTGTTACGTTCCACTATGTGGGTACTACTGCTTTGAAATGTATTCAGGTGCCAAAAGTGTTAAAGCACGCAGTCCCACCTCAAGGATTGAAGAGATTGGTTTGCAACTATTTGTTTAAGTGTAAGGGAGCAAACAGAAATAGGGAGCTATTTTTTATGTTCCGTGGAGAAGAGCGGCTACTTACGTGAATTGCATGATGGAGTCTGTAAGCGAAGTAGGAAGGCTTGTCACGGACACAGAGAACTAGGAAAGAGATGTTATTACAGGTAAATAGGAAAATATGGTGAAATCACTCTTGCTAGCTTTTGTAGTGCTATCCACAGCTCAGCTCAAAATTCAGGTCCCAGTCCATGGCTGTATGCATCGGTTATAAAACTCTGGTACTTACTTGAGTTTAGCACTCCTTACATAGAAGGGCTTACTAAAAATCAGTGCACGCTCTCTTGTGACACGTGTAGAAATGTTATTATTCTGTAAATGAGCACATGAAGCTTACAACTTGTTTGCATTTCAGTTAAGTCCTGAAAAATTTACAAGTACAAGGCTGGTTGTGGCTCTGGGCAGCCTGGTCTGCGGGTTGGTGACACTTGAACGTAGCAGGGGGGTTGAAACTAGGTGCACTGTGGTACTTTTTCACCCAGGCCTTTCTGTGATTCTTTGGCTGATGTAAGGTGTGTGGAGTCAGTTGCTAATGCATGCATCATTGATGACGCCTAGTTCCTTATCAAATAAAGAAAGATAGTAGTACTGCTCAGTCACAATCTGGTGCTGCGCACGTGCATTTCTAGATTTACATGAGCATGGAACACAAGTTCTGTTCAAATATCTTTCTCTAATGATTTCTGAACTTTGAATCAAACAACGTAGCAAAGTGGAGAAGAGTATCAGGAAAAGAAAATTCTTCCTATGTCTGATATGTCATCTAGATATTAAGTGTAAAATAATGTGTTGTGTACCTATTGCAACCAGTAATTCTTGAAAATATCCGTCGTAGCAGTCATTGATGGCATCTACTAGGTCTTGCCCAGAGATACTTTGGAACTCCTGGAAAACTTGGAGGAAGAGAAATCTCACTTGATTCATTAACAGTGATCAACATTGCTCTCCCTCCCCACCCTCCTGACGATAACCCTTGACTGGGTTTTTTTCCTACTGATTTGTTCCCAGTGTTTCCTTAAGTCCATAGCATGCAACTAAGGCAATCTAAATGAGTAGTCTGAAACCTGGCTTCCAGGACATTCTCTTTCTAGATTCTCTAGTATGCGATTTAAAATAGATGCATAGCAAAGTGCGTTTTTCACAAATAATAACAATTAATAAATACTCCTGCAGTTTCTGTTTTTAGAACTTGTAAGAACTGCAGGTCAGTAAGACACGTCCCATGCTTCGCTTGGCTGAAGCTGGCCAAATGGTCACAGATCATGAGAAGCCATCCACAATATGCCTAACGTGTCGCTGTGCAGACATGGGCATTGTCTGGGCTCACGTACACACCAGTACAGTGCATGCTTACTTAAGCCTTAGGAAAGTACGAGATTTTCGGTGACTGCAGATGACAAAACTTACAGTGAACTACATTACAGGCAGAACCCTCAAAGTCTTGTGCAGTGGGGGAATAGTAGCATGGCCAGGTGTTACGTTAGTTCATCCCATGATCACCATCCTTACAGAAGTCGTGACAGAATTACTTGGTTAATTCATGACACCACAGCAGTTTTGAGCTACTGTTAGAAGTTGGCAGAAGTACAACTGCCTGCGCAATGATGAACTTGTCACCAAGCAGGCTTTTCCACAGCAGAACAAAACACATCCCAAACATGCCATCAAGCAGATGAGTTTCATAACTGCAGTGGAAGATTTCCTTTTTTTTTTTTTCTTTTTTTTTTCTTGCCAATCTTTGATTATGCCTGATGATGTAGTTTTAATTAAAAGCATCCCGCTATGTTTCTGTGTGTCTGTGCTCTTTAAGAGAGAGCAGATGTGGACTCTGGAAGTCTTCCCCTTCAAAACGTGTTTGAAACTTGCAGTCATCAGGCAGAGTTCAATTTAGCATTACTTCCAAAATCCCATTAATGTCAGTGAGATTCTGAGAGCTCCAAGTGTTCACAGTTAGGGTTCAGGCTCATATTCTGCTGCTCACTGAGCTTGATATATAAACCATGGCCTTATTAGCAAGTCAGATGTTTCCTTTATGCTGTATGGTCAAAGAGCACTGGGTTACCCATCCACAACTGCTGGTAACTCCTGTTGCACAGGATCATTTGCAGCATGTTTTTGTGTTCGCCTGTTCTCTGCTGACAGGCTTCCCATAGAATCTGTTACATCAGAAAAAGAAAAAAATGCAGAAGATTTTAAATAATTCTGAATCACTTTTCAACATCAATATTTGCTCTTTTTTTTAATGTGAGACATGCCCACGTCTGCTTGTTTTTACCATTGCATCCTGAGCAGCTGTAGCAGGATCTGCATATCCTTCCATTCTTGTTCCCTGGGGGGGGGGGGGAAGAAAAAAAGTTGTTTCACTTCTTGAGATATATGTAAGAAAAACACTGAATCAATATCATAGTTGACTTAGTAACTGTGGAAAATATCCTCAAATTTCAATTTACAGCTTCATGTCTTCTGAGCAGAGGAAACTGAAATAGCAGGCTGTGTTATGAGAGGAAAAAATCGTGGAAGTGGATAAACTTGCCTCGTAAACCCATCCCATTATTAGTCTGATGTTAAGTGACATTTTAGCACCTCCCGGTGCTGTAAGTGCTCTATTGTTTACTATAACTATGAGAGAAAAGCAAGCAGAAGGGTAGCATTTACCATTGACTGCTTGTTTCCTATCAGTGTGTGTATTGCCAGGAGAATCTTTTCTCCATGGTTGTCTACAATTAAGGTCTAAGTCTAGAAACTGTTTGACAACTTTGCCAGATTTGGACATTGCCATGTATTTAGTAGCTTTTCAGTTATGTAAATCAAGATGATGTGTTTCAGTAGGCACACTATGATCTGAATTACATAGCTGTTAGAAAAAGAAAAAAGCGCACACTTTCAGGAATTACTTTTTTGACCTTAATTGTCTTCTAAGGATACGGATCAGCCCTGATTGCCAACTCTTCAGTAGTCTCAAGCTATATGCTGCCATTGCCTTAATGATATGCGTTTGAAGCAACTTACTTGAGAATTTACAATTGCTTTTCTGTGCATGTGATCGTGAGGATTGAAATTATGCATCGTCTGTCAACTCTTGGAATGAGTGCTTTGTAGTTCTTTCCTGTTAAAAGTGTTCAGTTGTATTGTAATTGAACTGTAAGAATTTCACTTAGCTAAGAGCGGAATTCCTACTAAGAAGATAAATTACCTGAAGGAAATCATGCTGGGGTGACCACGTAAAGTGACGTGGGTGCAGGGGAAAAAGACTAGTGGGCAGCAAGATGCATGGTGCTCCATGTAAGGTAAGTGCCCACTGCCTCCAGTACTGATTGACAGAGACTCATGTTGGCACAGTTAGCTGGTGAATCCCATGCCACACTTGATCGTTTTTTAAATACTAGAAAATGATTCTATTTCAGTTTGTACACAGCAAACAGTATAAAAATCTTTTCTTTATCATACGAGAACATTGACTAACATGAAGTTGTAACTTGTAAAATTTATGTAGGGATTACTATTTCAGAATCATTTCCATCCAGAGGATTTTGCTGGTATGTAGTCATTGGTAGCAGATTTCTGTAGATTCTCAGTTGCCTTGGTGTTCATGTCAAAACCACAGTTACTGTGCTAAAGCAATTGAACAGTTAGTTACCTGTGTCTGAAACAAAGTGGCTGCTGTTTGTGGTCACATGTGTGCCTCATCAGCCCAGAGATTTACTAGAAATCAAAGCAGTGTGTTTCCAAAACAACCCTAACAACCTAAGGATACATTGGAAATGTTGCTTTAGAATAATTTTCTGTGAGTTACATGGCGTTGGAACTGATGAAATATCACTGACTTTTAATATAGACTCTGTCCAGACAGGGATGATTCAGTTAGCAGTCTTCAAAGATACACGGTATATGTTAGTAAAATTGCAATTTCCTACAACCATTCTTTATCAAATAGCAGTTAGACCTCGTTAGCTGAGAAGTGGCTGATATCAGGTGTCTGTACGTGTATAGAAAATAAGGAGCAATGAGTTAGTCTGGTGTTGTTTATTTTAAAGTTATTTTCTTTATATGTAAAAATTTCTCATGGGTTTGGTAAAGGGAAGAAGTTGCCTAGATTTAAGCTCTTGAATTTGTAAGCATGTAGGAATTTTCATTATTAGGGGAAAAACCCTCCAATATTAGTTAAAATATTTCCCATTTCTAGTTTCTACCTTTGGAACATTTACTCTTAATGTCTGTGCTGCAGTGAGACCTCATGTCTTTTCAGATCTTAGGAACACTTTCCCCAAACATGCAAACATACATAGAAATGTAAATGCAATTTGTGTTGCTGCCATTAGTTTTGTCATCATCTGTTACTCTGGTTTGCAATACATTTTAAAGGTAACGAGCATGTTGACTGCCATGAGAGCAGCAACTTGTGTTCCCAGGAAGATACCTACTGCGGTTTGGTAGTGCTGAGTCAAAGCTGCTGTGTGACTGTAGTTCTTTTGGCTGCCTTCTTGTGTACTGTGATTTTAGCATAAGGATCAGTGCAAATAACTTAATGCTTAACACAAGGAACTGCCTGATGATAGACGTGTGGCTATGTCTGCATTTTTCATGTGCAGGCTGGATGTTGAGCTGTCAATTTTAAAAACAGGGGAAACAGAGCTTTAAATACAAAGTCTAATTTGTACTTGACTGCAGGCTCCTTTAGAAATGAAACTGGTTGAGTCAGCACTTGTGTATCCTGGGCCTTTCTAATAAAACGTTAATCTTTGCCTCCATTTGAAAAATGAAGTTAAAGTAGACGGAGGAATTCCAGCTCTCTTCCTCCTCTACTCTTTCCACTCTCTTGTTGAGAAGTGTACTCGTGTTGAGCTGACTTGAGCTGCAGTTACTTCATGTTTTAAGACTTCTTCAATTATATCAGAAGTCTCTCTAAATTTTTTTATATGCATGTCATATTATTTATTGTGTTTACAGTACCTGAGCGAGGTTCATCAGAGTATCTCTGAAGTGACCAGAAGTCTCAGAATCAATATCTTGCTGAAGATCACTGTTGTATTCTGGATTGAAACAAAAATGTGTCACCTAAATACATAAAAAATGAACGTGCTCTGAATGTTGCTTATGAAAATAAGCAAACAAAGGGTGAATAGGGTGCAAATACACACTCGTTTTCTAAAGGTATTAAAAATCATTCCGCAGGAGCTCTTGCAGGTTCTGCAAGGACCTCACCACAGAGGGATTCCTCCCTGCCAAGGCCTCAGCCACCTCAGCAGCTCGCCTGCCCGTCCTCCTGCCTGCGCCTGGCAGCCCTGCGCCTGCTGCAGCTGCGTGACTGTGGGACACTGAGAAGCTCCTGCTCAAGGGAGGTGAGCTGAGTATTCAGCCTGAGGAAGCACTTTGTGAGAAAAACAGTTGGGGCACTGGGAAAAATGTGTACCAAAGTTTATGAAAATCCCCAGATGTTGCTGCTGGCTATTTAAAACATACTAGGCAGCAATACATCTCCATTTACTTGGAGATACATTCAACTCGATTCGTTTTGCTTCAGCTTTTTAAATATAATTATGAAGGGGGAGGAAGAGGGAGGGAACCGTGCTGAGAAGTCACTTTTGTAATTTAGTTGCTTTGCTCATGCTAATACATCCAGCCTAATGCACATACTAGAGCTGCTGTTGTACACTGGTAAAATACATTACGTGTTAAGTAGGCTTCTTTCATCTGGAATATCTCCATATTTGACCTTGAGGCTAATATGTCAATTAGACACTTCTCTTCTGTGTTTACTCCCTGTGCAGGAGGAAGTAAATTTGAAGTCATTAGGAACCACAGCTTTTAGAAGACAGAACTGGTTTATTAGACGTAACAAAGGACTTAACAGTTTCTTCTGGAGCAGTGTATGGTGTGCCTTTGCTTAGTGTGCCTGTTCAGAAAGAAATTGACTTCAAGTTAATAGTAGCAACTTAAACAACAAATACGCTCCTACTTAATTTGGATTTCAGAATATCTGTTAGTAAGTGGGGAAAGAAGCAAGACTGTTGTTGACAGAAACACAATGGGAAGAATTTTCGAGCTTGAATAAGAACTTAGGGGTTACTGAGAGAAATCAGACGCAAAGATTGAATGTACGTGCCAGGAAGCGTTCAAGGCAGTCTGAAGTGGATAAGAAAACCAGTTCTGGGATGTGCCTGCCCACCTTTAGGGATTTGGCAGTTTAGGAATTTCCTAAGCAAGTATTTGTAAGGAATGATTATTTTTTAATAACCAAGAGCAAAGTTGTTTTGCAAGAATTTTTCAAGTCCTTTTTGATTCAATTGGAACCAATTTGTGCTTTTGGTTTTAATATTGCCTTGCAGCAGTGGATTTCACCATTTAATTGCACGGTGTTGGAACAAAAAACCAAACCAAACCAAAACAAACATTTTAAAAAAAACTTCTTATATGTCAGTGTACTGTGAAACATCTTTCTAGCAGTTTATCAAACATTTGAATAGATTAAAAATCACTTTGTAATATATTAAGTAATATAAACAGTGATCCTGTGTCTGAGTAGCTGTTAATTGGGTCAATACCTTTAGTGCATGCCAGAGCTCGTGGGCATCATAGGATGCAGGTGGGTACATTAGGCCAACCATGACTTCTTTGAAGTGATGAGAGAGATTGTCTTTCAGGTCTGCCATCAAATCCTTAACAAAAACACATAGGATTAATTCAGCAGTCACACTTTGTGAAAAGCAGCTTAAAAATATTAGCAGTTTTCTTTGTGAAGGAATGAAGATGAAGTGTCTGAGATGGAGTTAGCTAAGATTGGGGAACATAAGTCTTTTAAAATAGAACCTACTCCTTTTAATAGTACTTGTGAGATGGCAGTAGACAGAGAAGCAAGTAAACTGTATAGATTTGTTGGTTTTTGGTTCGTTGGAATACAGGAGAAAATTTAGGGGTTCAAATGCAACTGCTCCTTAAGGGCTTGGAAATCTCAATACCACAGCACAGCATTTGCAGCTTCCCATGGCAGATTCCCTGTCTGAATCTGCAAGAGCTGAGCCCTCAGAAGTTAAATCCTGTAACACACAGCAATTTCCTTCCTTTCTTCTGGGCTATTCACCATGTAATTAATATAAAAAACCATTCTTAAAGAATCATCCCAGTACGTAAAGCTACCTATTCTGGATTACTGGAAGGCTATGTGCTCCAGTTTATATATGTAAAATATTCAAAATGAGTTTGCTACTTTGGACAGATGTTGGATTAATAAAAGGGAAGCCTCCTCACTTGCCTGGCATTTGACTAACGGAAGAGAGTTTCCTTCCCACTCTCCCCTTTCCCAGCAGCATCCCTTGAAACATTGCAAATGCCAGAAGCCTGTTAGCTGTGTCTCATTAAGAGGATACTTTGCTGGTTCTTGTACAGTTCTGGGCAGCTATCAGATAGGCTCTGACCGAAGTCTGCAACTGTAGGAATACCAGGAATGATTCCTGTGATACAAACTTCACTTATTGCAGAGGTTTTTTTCCAGCTTGTACTTTACCTTTGATGCATATCTTAATATAATTAAATCAATTGCTAAACTGGGAATCAAGGAGCACAAATACAGATTAAATATTGGATTTGTGAGGGAGAAACACAAGGTATTCACTATATGCATTCTTTTTAGTTGTTTTAGGTCTTTAGTTCTGTGAGCACTAGCTTTATAGGGATGTAGGTTAATTGGCGATGGCTGAAGGAGACAAATTAATTGATAATTAATAATGTGTTTTAATAAGGGTTTAGGTATTTCTGTCATACTTTTAGTTTGGATTTAAAAAGAAAACCCAAGCAGATAATTAGTGAGCAAATCAATAGTTCTTCTGTGCTCAGAGAAAAATGGCAGACCTCACTACATTTCTGACAGGTGGTTGGCAGTTTCTTACTAGCACATCGTTAGTGATATCGTTGGTCATCTCTATGTATGAAAAAAAGAAATCAAAAATGAAAAAATGACTTTTTTCATGGGCTTTTGTTTCAATGGGCTTTTTTTATTGTTGTTAAAATGCTAGGTGTGGTTAAAACATGTTAAAACATTTGAGAGAAAAGGTTAAAGGAACATTTTGTGAGGAAAAACCAAGGAATGAAGTGGTGAAAAATTATTAGCAGCCTACTGGGAGTCTCTGCTCTGGTCTTTGTGCTGAAGAGGAGGAGCTTAGTTTGAACTGGCTTTTTTTTTTTAAGGAAAGATGGCAATGCCATCTGTTTTATTTTTTAATGCATTATTCTTTTGTTCTCTTCTGAAATTATTTTGGCCAATAAGTCTCTTGCTATGTTTTCTAAAATATTAAAAAAGTGTTTGACGACCACTCCAAAACGGAGGAAGAAATCAGTCTTTCCAAAAATCCTTGTTGGAATGTATGTATGGAAGAGGAAACTTTGCACATCCTTTCTTCTTCCTTGTTTTGTGGCAGACGCTCTGCTTTGTAAATGACATTTAGAAACCTTCAAATGCATGCATGGTTACATGAGCAAAGTTGCGTGCCAACCTTTTGGTGCCAGTCAGCGGTTTGCCAGGTTTCTAATTGTAGTGGTGACCTGAGAGAAAGGCTGACCAGCTGTACTGGAAGCAGAAGGGACAGAGGTAAGGAAAGAAAGCGCAGCTTGGTTCTGTCATACCCTGCCATACATGTCTCTGTATGCCGCAGCAATCATGAGCCGCTGTGCATTGCAGCGCTGTGTGAGGATGTCAATCAGCACGTCTTTTTCACAACCTGCAGACAAACCAGACGCAGATTCTCAGTTAGCAAATTGTTATTTCTTTAGGCTTCTGATTTTCCTGTTTTATTCAAGAATACAAACTAAATTTCTTGAAAAAAAAACAGACCAGCAAATTGATATTCTGCCACTATTTACTGAATCAGTTGTATGTGCTTTGCATACGTACCTTTCACTTGCTGGTGTACTATCAGCAATTAGTTAAATATTCTGTTATTATCAGATACATTGCTGTATGGGAGCTCCTGTGTCACGACCTGAACCTCTGATTGATCACCTGAGGTGAGCCATGAGTCAGCCAGAGGAGCACAGGTGAAGGCAATTCCTAGACCTGTTTAAGAGCTGGCTACCAGGGGGGAAGGATCTCTTCTGGAGATCTGCTCTGCTGGAGTTTTGTGAGTGAGCCCTGGATAAGGGTAAGCCTTCTGTTTATTCTCTTGTGTTATCATAGTCTGCTTTGCCTCACTCTCTTGTTGATTTTGTGATGGTAACATCCTAATATTCTTTGATTATACACATCACCGTCTGTTTCAAGTGAAATGGATTGGAAGCCATCTGTGGAACAGATCCCAGCTTTCATTTGTTGAGAACTAGGCAGGGTAAAAGGATTTGTGGCCGAGCCATATTCGTATGCCTTCCTGATACTGATTAAATTGTCATTTGAGGATTAGGGATCTCTTAAATGGGAATGACAAGGTACAGTCAAGCCATTTGTTGGACAAATGAAAGCTACGTGTTTTCAGAGAAACTATAGAAGTTAAATTATGAAGTTTTAAAGAATGTTTTATTTTAAAAATCAGTTTCTGAATGCAATTATTATTACAATAACTGCTCAGGAAAAAGAAGTTGATGATTAGCATGTTTTGAAAATTATTTTATTATTTTTGAATTTCTTCTATCCCAGAAAATGGCTCTTGGTTACTTCAGGTAGTTCAGTGTTTCAGTGTCATTCCAGTAGAAACATGTCTGCAAGCGTAAATCAATTTATTTTATTACACTTAGAGGTAAGTTTGGGTACAAAGCTTGGAGATCAGCTAGCATCTCACTAGAGAAAGATACTTTGCTGCTTCTACAAATCACTGTTCTGTATGCACATATAGATATAAGCTCTGTGTTTTTCTAAGCTTAGGCTGATTTTGTCGTATGATCTACGAGTGGTGGGCTCCATTTTAGCACAAATGAAATTGGATATTAGGTATGATCAAAATTTTTTTTTTTCAGTAAGTTTGCAGATAAAATCTGTGTCTGCTCATTATGCAGGAAGTTCAGTAGTTCTTCCTTGTAGTCCATCTAGCCGAAATGACAATGGCTTCTTGTGCTACGCTGGTTTCACATCAGTTTGGTTCATTGCCATCAAACTCAAAAAATGCATGCGTTACTGTATCCCTGTGCCTAAGGCTTTCTTTTACTATTCAGAAGGTAATTGTCACTTACTTTCTGTATAGTTTTACTACAGAGATGGTATAAACTAAGGTGGATTCAAGAAATTTTTAAATGCCTAAATAATTTTACTTTTTTTTTTTTAATAATGCCACTGGTATTAATAGGGTAATGTGTGTATGGCAACTGTTGAGTCACAGCCTGAACCACTGATTGATCGCCTGAACGAAGCACTGAGTCTTCTGGAGATCCCTCCTCTGTGGAGCCCTTCCTGTGAACCCAGATCTTTGGATACAGGTGAGCATTCCTTCCCTGTTTGTTTCTTTTCTTATGTTTGCCATGATAACCTTTCTAGCTGTAACACCAACCGTAACAGTAAGTGGCTGAACCTCTTCAAGAGAATGAATGTTGTGTGGAGAAAGTGGGGGTGTCAGGACTTGGGAAGACTTGAATTGCTGTAAGCTGAGCATCGTATTTTGCCAGCTCTCTTTGAGACTAGAACTTTGTTTTATGCTTTGCCAGGCAGAGTTTAAAGTAGGGCTACTGCGTGTGTGTTTACAGCAGTAAATGGAGAGAATGATCCTTACATTGTCATATTAGCAGCATTGCATTAAAAGTGCTGGTTCAAGTCTGACAAAGTAAGTACAACTTTGTAATGAACTTAAAGGTGAACTTAAAGGTCCTTCATGTTGTTCTTAATAATACCCACTTAGTGGTGTTTTGATTGACTTAAAGACTAAAACCTCACTTTTCTTTTCAAGAAACTGAACAGGATGCTGGATTTGGTGTTGTACAGTCTTGTGAAAGTCTTAGGACATAAAAAAGAGTTCTGATACAGGTGACAGTCTTAATGTGAGGAAGTGTTTGACAGGATAATTAAAAATAAATCGTCCTTAGAACCTTCAGCAATACGAAGTGTGCGGCTGTAAACAAATAAGGAACAGAAAGACTTGTTTTGCTGAACATACTGTGATTTGTAGCCTGAAAGCAAAACTTAACTCCAGAGGGGAAGGTGATCAGTGCTGTAAATACTTGTCCATTTGTTTTTATTTATCGATGGCTGTTATTGTAAAAGACATAACAATATCTGCTTCTAGCTGATGTTGGGGCTACAGCTAAAAATGAATCCAGTTTTAACCTTCACTGTAGTGACAAGTTTTTATTTTCTCACGGAAAACATTTGCTATTATCAGTGTTGGTATACATTTCAGGTTAATTTTAATTAGTTCTGAGCTCATGCAAATGCCTGACTTGCTTGGGTATCACCGGTGAATCTTACTGCGATACCTTGAAGAATCATCACCTATGCGTTGATGTTTGTATTATTGTGGGTATACATACATTTAGTTTGGGTTATAATGTAATAAAAGATGTTAGAATATGCCATGGTACTTACTGATTCCCTGTAGGGCTCCTCCTAGCGACTGAGCATCCATAACAGGGTTGAAATTTGGAGCTGGAAGAATGGTTCCTTGAGTCTGCTGAAGGAGAAAGAAGCCTTTAATTGCAATGCTTTATATTTTTTAACTGCATATATGATTCAAGTGAGAATCAACAACCACATAAGATTAAAACTTTGGCTTTATGGGGAAAAGTATGTTGATTTACAGGGAAGAACTTGTAGCAAACCCTAGTAAGCCAGAGCGTATTTAAGCTAGGCTTGAACAAAGAAAATAGGTTATTAATGTGTTTTGTTCTCATTAAAATGTAGTCACAGTTTTGTTTCTATTTCTCAAACCTTTCTGAAAATATTCTTCTGTCTTTTGAGGTTAATCTTTGTTATCCCTATCAGTCTTGAGTTTCTCTTGATATTTCTAATTTGAAAGGACTGGTGAGAAAATAATGAAGTATGTAGGTTGCTTACCAAGCCAGTAATTTTAAAAGAAATTATGTTGGGATGGAGTGTGGGCTGTCTTTCTGACATGCTATGTGCAAGTCAACATTATTTCTCTGGTTGCTTTTTAACTGGTTAAGTTAGTCTCAGTTCGTTCCCAGTGATACTTGGTTTCATACAGTGTTTCATGTTTTGCCAAAGCCGTGAATACAAAATAGAATTGATTTCCTCGTTTTAATAGGATCACAGATCTGCACAGGTGAAAACAACTCTGGTTCATCTGCTCTGAGCTTTGTGCTCATTTAACCCCTTCAGCTCTTTTGAGGATTACACCTGTGTTTTCAGGCTCACCCTGTATAACAGTTGTCTTTTGTAATGATTTCTGTTCTTAGTAAATACGTTTGATTAAACTGAACTTGATGACTTGAAATGTTCAATAAAAAAATGGGGTAAAACTTACAAATGAAAATGATGGATTCATACAAACACCTCTTAGAACTAGGAGGTCAACTGATGATATTAATTACTGTATGGGAACTGCTGAGTTAAGGCCTGAACCTCTGATTGCTCACCTGAGGCGAGCCATGAGTCAGCCAGAGGAGCACAGGTGAAGGCAATTCCTAGACCTGTTTAAGAGCTGGCTACCAGTGGAGAAGGATCTCTTCTGGAAATCTGCTCTGCTGGAGTTTTGTGAGTGAGCCCAGGATAGGGGTAAGCCTTCTATTTATTCTTTCTGTTATCGTTAGGTGCTTTGCCAAACTCTCTTGTTTATTTTGTGATTATAGCATCCTAATATTCTTTGTTTATACAATTACTGTCTTTATTTTCTTGTTTTATGTTCACTTGAAATGTTTTGTCTGTGTTGCCTTCATTAGTAATGACATACACATACTGCTGTAGTGTGTGGTCACTAATGATGTGCTTCCTTGGCTTACAGTTCTACTCAAGGATTTAAAAAGCAACGAGCAAGAAGTGGATATGTTTGAAGAGAAGGAAAACATAATTTCTTGATACCAAGCAGGTAACTATATGGGCAAACAAGTTATTGGTGGCTTAGTGATGGAAAGAATGTAGCGTCAGAAATTTGAGGTTTTGAAGGAGTTACTTTGTGTAAGAAAGGAAATATTTGCTGATAGATGAGCATCTTTCTGCAGTTCGTTCTTCATTTTAAATATTATCTCCTACATTTACAACCAAGTATAACATTGAGTGTCATTATACTTGTTAAAAACCATCAGGGAATATATGATAAGGAGAGCAACTCTGGCTTTAGAGACGAGAACATGTCAGTTTATATAAGGTGATACATCACATTGTACCTAAGATGAATTTCAGATTTATACTCTAGCTATTTTCCATGCTCTCTTCCACCTTCAGTCCTGGGTCTCACTGCTCACATAACACATCTGTTGGTTGAGATTGGCTTCAGAAATGATGTTTAACCTCATGGCTTTTTGTTTTCTTACAGTACGTGTGCTCTTCAAATGTTGTTCACCAGAAATCCCCTGGACACATGCTATTGGCAGGAGTTCGAGTGCTCTTTGACCACGTGGGACATGAGGTGCAAGTTGAGGTAATTATTTTCACTTTTCCTTTGCTAGAGTGTCAAGTGATGCTGAGAGTCAAAGATAGTTCTCCCAGGAGGCAGGAGTCTGTGAACTCTGGCTGATATCTAATGTAACTTGACAAGCCACCCTGAAAGTTACTGATAAACAAAATCACTGTAGAAAGAATTGCTAGAAGACACTGTTAGAATGCAGAATCAAGAAATGTATGTTGATATATGCTCTGAGTTAGAAAAATAGAATTTAGCTTTCTGCCTCTCATTCATGCTTCTCAGAATGTCTGAGCCACTAGAATAGCTCATCAATCTTGAGAAGGAGGAAATCAGTCCCAAATCAGACTGTTACCAAATATTATGCTAGAACTGCCAATAGAGAATGGTTTTCTTTAAATGAGAATAATAATCAAGAATGATAGGTTGTGAATGGAATTTGAGTAGCAGATAGAAGATTCAGAGGCTTTTAGCTTGGAGTATAAACCTGTGGTAGGAAGGGTGAGCTTATCTGACATCCTGTTAAAGTACTCTGACCATGTCACTGTGCCTGCTGGTCGGAAGGATGGCAGGAGGAGAGAAAATCTAGCAGGTGTATGTATTTATCCAAATCTAATTTAAAATAGCACTGCAGGCTCTTCATTTTGGCAACAGCTATGGACAGGTTCAATATCCAGAAAGACTGGTTATCTTATGAACAGCCTTCTAATATTTATTCATTAGGTCATTCTGCTGATAGCAAACAATCAAAGTCAGATTCCTCAGTCTGAATGTTTCCCGTGGGAAATACGTACTAAAATAAAATGCTCACTTTAATAGCTAACCACGTGCTATGTTATAGCTATACTTCTGCACCTATGTCCTTTGTGTGCACCTTTGTTATTTAAAAAACTGTTCATAAATAGCTTTGTTTTTTCTAAGAGTTATTGTATACATTACATGTTTTTGGAATTATGGAACAATGTATGAATTGGGAGAGATGCATTTAAATGTAGAGACCTCAGTCTTTCTCCAGAGCATCCTGTCTGTACCTGTATTTGTATTTTAGAGAGGATGCAAATGTCTTTTCTAGTTTCTGGTAGTTGGAGCTCGTTGGTACTGGGGGAAGGGGGTATTTCCTGTATGTGATCTTAGATAATGAAGTTGCATAGAGCTGTTGAATCAGTCAGAATTGCTGCTGTGTGTTATCTGCATTTCCTTAGTCTAGGTTGACTCCATCCTGTCCAGTATTCCACATACAGTGTATGCAGATATATTTACAACATAAAGAGTAAGATAATCTTATAAAATCAACTATATTTTAAATATCACTAATTGCTTTTTCATGGTTCTTGCATTTCCAAACCAGTGGCACATTAACATATTGGAAGTCTTTGAAAAATATGTGAAGTGTACTATTTAGACTTAGACTCAATTAAGATCATGCTTAATGAGCATAGATAAGAAACGAATGGACTCAGCCTCTCACTGCATCCTGTGCAGATCCTGCGTTTTCTGCTTGTGATTTGCCCAAGCTCTTAGAAGAGCGCTTTTCTGTTGTTTTGTTGCTGAATCTCAGGTGTTGTTCTGTAACTAACTTCATTTTGAAGAGCAAGCAAGCATCAGGGGAGGGTGCTTGCTTGGACTCCATGCTACAACTCCCCGTTCTTTCTCCCCAGCTGCAGTCTGCTGTACTGGCTGGGAACCTCTGAGCTAGTTCATACTAATCCCCTTTAGTTTTTCTCCCCTCTCAGCTCACAACGTGTAGGGGAAGTGAGAATTAAGATTAAGAACTTGCTTATCCTGAGAACCCACTGAAAAAAAAATGTTTTTTTTTTATTAAGAGAAAATGTGTAGTCAGATTTTCTCAGTTTTATGGGATGGAGTTACATCACATTGTCTACGTTTGATTAACACTTTTTTTTTCCTCCCTGAAATTGAGGGGAAAAGTATTTGGAAACAGGTGAAATAGGCCTGGTATCCTCATTATTTAGTTTGGGGTTTTTTGGTGGACTTGGAAGGACCATGCTAGGAACTTAGGTTCTGTGTCTGCTTAGTCGGTCTTGTGAGCTGAAGTAATGCAGAGTATGATGGTATCAAGGGAAGTCTAAAGCAGCTGGGATAGTCATCCCACACAGTTAAAAATTAAAACAAAATCCTTCAGATTTTCTGACAATGCTACCAGATTCTTGCAGTGTTTTTATCTTGTATGGTTTACTAATTTTAATGAAATAAAAAAGTTAAAACTCATCCTATAAGTTATCACTTACTACCTTTAACACCAAGCAGCACATAATTTGAAGATGGGATGTCAGTCCTTTAAACACAATTGATCTTGATAAATCAGTAGAGGAAATGAAACTCTAGCTGAAGAGCATCTACTACATTATTCAGGTAGAGTAATTCTACTTGTCTTGCTTTAATTGTCAGAAGCAGGCTGTTATTTACAGAAAGAGAGAGTGGAAAAGAAGGAAATCCCTTTTCGGTTATTAACTGGCTTAATTAACAGTGGAAGATCTCAAATTGTAGAAGACCAAACACATCAGTAAAACCCATTCAGTATCTAGTTCTATTGAAAGACAAATATATTCAATACGGTTTCATAGGAAGAAATATTTTACTGGTGAGATTGGAATAATTAAGGCCATTAAGCTTTCAAGTAAAATAAGGATAAAAATTGTCTGTTCTTTAAAAAATAATGCATTGGTCAGTAATGTATTTAGAATGCATATGCAAAAAGCATTTGAGATGACTTTGATTTGACTCATTAATCCTATTAATTATTAATGGAAGAACATGAAGTGATCAGAATCGCAGGTAAGTACAGTTGCAGTTAACATAATTATCAGTATCCCAGGTGCAAAAAAACAATTTTATGCTTGGCTGTCAGAAAATAACTAATGGTAGCTTTCAACATGAGGCATTAAAACTGCAGTGTGAACTTTCTTGAAGAGATCAAATGAAACTATTTAATGTATTACTATGATTAATTAGTCGTTTTTCCTGTGCTTTTATCTCTTTCACAGGAATCGCTTGTTACCTTTAAAATATTTTTAACGTTGTGAACCAAACCAAATGCTTACGAGTGCTGAAGTTAGTTACTTCATGCAGTT